CATGCGTGTCTACAGAGGGAAGGCCTGGAGAGCGACCCACCCGGTGACTCCGAGGCGGGTAGGCCAGGGGGGTGGGCTGGAAGGATCAGGGAGGCATTTAAATGCCTCCCCATGCCTTCCCTGGTCTGTCCAAGGGCCGGCTTGTCTGGGCTCCCCACAGCTGCGGGGGGCTCGGGCAAGCCAAGGGAAGGCATGGGGTGTGGCCTAATATGCTAATAGGTTTCTGCTGTTGGGTGTGGCCTATTATGCTAATGAGCTCCTGCTGGGCTTTTTCTACAAAAAAAGCCCTGAGCCCTGGTTGTTATTTGGAGGGGAGACCACCAAGGAAATTCAGGGTTGCCACTCAGAGGCAGGAAATGGCAAACCACCTCTGAACGTCTCTTGCCTTGAAAACTCCACAGGGTCATCATAAGTCAGTTGCAACTGGATGGGGGGTGGTGGGAATCGGCTTTATACTTCAGAAAATCCCAGTGAAATACTCTTTTTAGCTACTAGAGTGATTGAAGGTTGAGGGTAACTTCAGGAAGTTACTTATTTGGAGAAGGTGTTCATTGTAAGTGGATTATAGTTTCAGAACTTAAAAAAAAAAAAAAAGAACCCTGCTCTTAAGTTTGAGACATAAAGATCCCTGCCACACGGCCGGAAAAACATTGGCCAAAGTGCGGCAAATCAGAGCCGCACCAAAGTAGAGATGCTGCGGCAGGATCCCACGGATCCCCTGAGCCGCGGCGCCGTTGCTCCCCGGCACGATCAGATGCCGGGGAGGAAGCTACCGTCGGGAGGGGGAGCCTGCCGAACTGCGTATGTGTGAGCATGTGCAGTTCGGCCAGGCGCCGGGGATGCGCCGTCGGAAGGACGTGCCGGCGATCCCACGGCCGGCTTTGATGCGGCCTTCCTGGATGAACCACCATGGTAGGTGGTTAATTTTTGCTGCGGGGTTTTGGGCGGAAGGGCCGGATTGGGAACGGGCGCGCAACACTTCCCAGATGTTACGGTGGGATCGCGCCCGTTTGCTGCGTCCCCGATCCGTCCCTCTCCCGGCCCAAAACCTCTCGTGTGACCGGGGCCAAAATACATAAGGGAGCAACCCTAAGCAGGTCTACTAAGAAGTAAGTCCCATTATAGTCCTTGGGATTTACTCCCAGAAAAGTGTTTGTTGGATGCAGCCACAGATATTTGGGCTCTAAGGAGAGAGTCATAGAAGTTTCTGTCTGACAGAGAGGGTAAGACAGTGCTTTTAAAAAGTATCTTTGACGGCCCACCTGGAAACCCAGCATCCCCACTTAACAAGGAGGCTGGCTGTGACCCCTGCGGATTAATTGGTTTGATTCAGCAGGGTTCTTCTTATGTTCTTAATTAGCGCAGAACACAAAGCTGGCATTTTATACATAACTCTGATCATATGCGTGGGAATTCTGCAGCAACACCCATTAGCCGAAACTTTCTGGGAGAACTAAGAATTGTTTTGGGTTTTGTTGCTGTTGTTGCTCTGTTAATCCACTCTTTGCATCTGGTCTGCATGATACATACTCATGGCTGTGATGTACCCGTGTGCCATGAGCTCACCACCACTTTTAATGGGACTCCAGCATAATTGCTAACCCTGTAAAGATGTTGCGTGACCCTTGGCCTTGGGTTGTCGGAGGCTTTGGTCTCCCGAGAGACCGTGGGTGTGTGGGTTTGGGGGGGGGGGGCCCTTACCCTTTTATTCCTCCCCCCGCCGTTGTCATCCAATGCTAGAAACAGCTGTCCGGAGCTAATTTATTTCCTAATGCTGCAGCAATGTTAATTTATAAATTACACTGGTAATTCGAGCTATTATTAATTTCAGATGGTGTAGGGCAAGCCTAATTAAAATATGACACCAATTGCCACACATATGTACCAAGGACTACCATTTAAAATTAATAGGAATATTAAGTGTGACTCTGTTCTCAGAGTTGCTTTGCTCAGTAATTACAACGCCCTGTCTGCAACAGATTTGATAAGAGGAGATGAAGCGATTTTAAGAGGGGGGGAAGGAAAAAAAAACAAGACAGCTCCATCTGTGTTTTTCTTTCCCCCCATCACACTTCTCTGAAAGGATCATTAAAAGAGCTATGGCCTTTCTTTCGTTCTTTCTCCCTCCCTCCCAATTCTGTGAATTTAGGCAGATCGTGAGAGGGAGGGCAGGAAGGGATGAGTCAGTGCTTGGCTCTAGTGGCCCTCTCTTATATGCCCAGAGTAATGTCAATCACTACTTTGGGGTCAGGAAGGAATTTTCCCCAGGACAGATTGGCATGGGAATGCTGGAGGTTTTATGCCTTCCTCTGGGCATAGAACAGAAGCCTTTGGGGGGATTGTGTGTGTGTGGGTAGCTGTGAATTTCCTGCATTGTGCAGGGAGTTGTACTAGATGACCCTTGAAATCCATTCTTCCTTCCTTCCTTCCTTCCTTCCTTCCTTCCTTCCTTCCTTCCTTCCTTCCTTCCTTCCTTCCTTCCTTCCTTTTGAACTTTCCGAATTGAAACAAAGACATAAAAGTTTAAGGTCAATAAAGATCACTGCAATCCTAAACTCACTTACTAGGGAGTAAACCCTGTTGGGCTGAATGAGGCTTAGCTCTGAGTAAACATGCTTTGGTTCCATTGCAGTGGTTTTACACTTTTTGTGAATGTGGTTGCTTCCCTGCAGACATTTTTCCTCCGGCTTTCTTCCACCCTGGAGCAGAGCACTGTTTTGGTTAGCATCTGCATGCTGCCAACCCCTTAATCATCCCCTTACCAGGTTTCCCCCCATCCTCTGCACACTCTTTCTCCAACCTGGTTTACTGCAATCTTTTCTGAAAGAATGTAGTCGAAGTGTGTCAGCCCACCATCTGGAAGAGAAGGTGCATATTTTCTACACTGGCACTATTTTTCTTCCATCAGCTCTTTTAGGATGCCATTTCCCCTGCCATGCCACTTTAGGGCTTCTCGAGGGCTTTTTTAATGGTAATTGCTGTAGCACTATAACATCGTAACACTATAGCAATTACCATTTTTTTAAAGGACTCCAAAAGCCTTCTGGTGGTGCTGTGAGGGAAAATGCAGGGTAAATGGCAGAGGAAGGTGTACGGAAACTCCCACCTGGGTGCCTTTGTCGTCTGTGCGAATGCCTCCACATTTATCTATTTAAGATATTAATGAATGAAAAATGGAGACCCCTGGCCATATGTGACTTTGCTACCATTTTAACCAACTGTGACCCATGTTTAACTCTTCATTAGCTTAATAAAAACATCCAAGATTCATTCAGAATGCCCAGGATTCCTTGGCTGGGGATTAGAGATTCCAGCCTCCATTTGGGGCCTCGGGATCTCCTGGAATTATGGCTGATCTCCAGATTGTAGAGATCAGGTCCCCTGGATAGAGTGGCTGCTTTGGAGGGTGGACTCTGTTGTGGGCCAATCTTCATCTCGCATTTGCTCCGCTGTTTTACCAAACCCATGCTGGAACCCATTGTGGTTTTGAGCCGCATCTTTTTCTGTTCCACTGTTGGTTTGGTAAAACAGCGGAGCAAATGCTAGATGCAGATTGGGCCAAATACCCCAGGCCAATGCCCGTACTGACTGCAGTCACCCCTGAATGGCCATAAAATGGCCATAAATCTATGCAGACGGCTGCTATAAAACCGAGAGAGCAAATGAAGTGAAAGCAGCATGCAATCTGGACAAGAGTGGCTAGGTCCCTACCTGGCATCCAGCGGGGGTCCGAAGCTCTGTGTCCGAGAACTTCACGTGCGCATGTAGCACGTGCGCACCACAATGACATCACCGAGAAGTGATGTCATCACGCTGGGCACACTGTCAAGGGATGCTCTAGCGTTCAGCTTTGAAACTCTATGGTACCTTAGAGTTTCAATGCCGAACGCTAGAGCGTCCCCCAACAGCGTGCCCCGCACAATGATGTCACCTCCAGGTGACGTCATCGCACCAGGCACGTCGGCCCGATTCCGGGACTTTGGGGGCAGGGTTCCGGGGCGGGTTGGGGGTGTCTAGAGTGGGCAACCCTCTGCCCCCCCCCCCCGGGGACCTGGCAGCCCTAATCTGGGCACTGCCATAAAATCTGACAATCAATCAAAGTGAAAGTGGCATGCAATGTAGAGGGGAATTTCTGTTCCAGCGTGGGTTTGGTAAAACAACAGAGCAAATGCTAGATGCAGATTGGGCCTCTATGGTCAGCACGTTGGCCCAGGGTATTTGAATGTGGTTTTGAGCCACATCTTTTTCTCTTCCAGTGTGGGTTTGCTAAAACAGTGGAGCAAATGCTAGATGCAGAGTGGGCCTATGGCATTATACCTTGCTGAGCCTCTTCCCTCCCCAGGCTCCTCCTGCAAATCTCCAGCGATTTCCCAGCTTGGAGCTGGCAACCCTACCCCCACCCCACCCTGCCGATGGCCACGAGGGACCCTGATAATTAAACAGGCATAAACTGCATTACCTTTTGAGTGCAGACCTACCCGATTACGGGATCAGCAATGCAACTTCCCTGCTCTTTACTCGCTTTCGGGGCTGTTTGGGTTTGTATGCAGCTGCTACCCGTGGCTCGGGTGTCTTGGAAGGGAAATGAATGTATGCTAAGTGATCTTTAAGAGTGTACCCTGAGTCTATTTGTCTGCCTCAGAACATAGCTTTCCTCCTCCCTTGACAGCGAAGGAAACCTCGTGCACATAGAGTGCAATGTTTTCACAGGAGCCAGCAGGTTTGGTGTCCTCCGCCACCTAGATTATCTATGGCACGCTGCCAAAGTCGGCTGCCTCGTCCCTCATTTTTATATATCACGTTTCTTCCCTGCACATCAAGATACCCAGACAGACAGACAGACAGACAGATGGAATCGTTCTAAGTTCTAAGAATCAGGGCATCCCATCAGCATCCATGCCAGGTGAAAGACGCCAGCCTGGAGAACACCACCATCTGTTGACCCCTCCACCGTGCCACGTATTCCACGGCTGTTGTTTTCTCTCTTTGGCCCTCTGCAGCGGTGGGCTTCTTGAGTGAAGATGAATACCTGGAGATCACTGGCATCACCCGGGAGCAGTCAGGAGCCTACGAGTGCAGCGCCTCCAACGATGTGTCGCCTCCCGTTGTGCGGAGAGTCAATGTCACCGTGAACTGTAAGTGCTGTTGTTTTCTCAGCCTTTGTTGTCTTCTTGGGGTGGGGGGGAACCAGAAGGGCAGCCGCCTCCCCACCCCTGGCTTCCGGGAAGATTCTCACTGCTTTTTAATACCCACAAGAGGAAGCTCAACCACAAATTTTGTATCCAGTGAAACTTCCCAGAGTGGGAGTGGGAGCAATATCACAGGTGAAATGCGACTGATGGTTTGAAATAAGTGACCCGTAAGGGAAATGCTTCTCCAACTCAATGGATGAGTTATGCATGCACATATGCTATGACCAAGCTGACGTTTTTAAAGCTTGAACACACGAAGGCGCCTTATCCCGAATCAGAACTTCCTTGGTCTTCTCAAGCTCAGTCTTGTCTCCTCTTGATTGGGAGCGGTTCTCCAGGGTCTCACGCAGAGGTCTTTCGCTTCCGCTTCCATCGGATCCTCTGCACTGGCAATTTCTCACTTGTTGCATGGCTCTGTTCATTTCACAGCACCACTTTTTTTTCCCTCTCAGTTCTTTAAACAAAAATGCAAAACGTGTTTGCATGTAGCCAAGTAGCCAAATCCGGCACTGTTGTGAAGTTAAACAGAAGAACAGTAGGAATCGTTGCCTTCTATTGGCTGGATTTCATTGACAGTAGAGTCGAGCCAGTGAGACGTCCTTAAGCATGATCCTGTCTGATTCCAAACCTGGGTGAGGGCAATGGTTCCTGTCCCAGGTTCAAACCCTGCCATCTCCAGTTAAGAATCAGGTAGTGCATGATGGGAAAGACCTCTGCCTGAGACCCTGGAAAGCCACACCTCAGTAGACAATACTGACTTTGATGGACCAAGGGTATGATTCAGTGTGCTGTGTTCGTGTGTGTGTGCATGCACACGCACTGGTCTTTTTGCTTGAAGAATTGGACATGTTTACCGCACTGATAGGTGGGGAAAAGCATTTCATTTCTTTTTTGAAACTCAGATCCATGAGAAGTTACCCAAAAGAACAGGCCCAAGCATTTTGGCATAGCCCAAGTATACATTCAGTCATTAGAAGTAAGACCACACTAAGGCACACCCATAAGAACATAAGAGAAGCCACGCTGGATCAGGCCAATGGCCTATCCAGTCCAACACTCTGTGTCACAAAGTGGCCAAAACCCAGGTGCTATCACAAGGTCCACCAGTGGGGCCAGAACATCAGAAGCCCTCCCACCGCTGCCCCCAAGCACCAGGAATCACTGCCCCAGACAGAGTGTTCCATCTATACCTTGTGGCTAATAGCCGCTGATGGACCTCTACTCCATATGTTCATCCAAATCCCTTCTTGAAGCTGTCTATGCTTGTAGCCGCCACCACTTCCTGCAGCAGTGAATTCCACAAGTTAATGACTCTTTGGGTAAAAAAGTACTTCCTTTTATCTGTTCTAAGCTTACTGCTCATTAATTTCATTGAGTGCCCACAAGGCCTTGTATTGTGAGTGAGGGAGGAAAAGTTCTTCTTTCTCTACCTTCTCTATCCCATGCATAACTTTGTAAACCTCGATCATGTCACCCCTCAGTCATTGTTTCTCCAAGCTAAAGAGCCCTAACCTCTTTAACCTTTCTTCATAAGGAAAGTGTTCCATCCCTTTTCTGCACCTTTTCCAATGCTATAATATCTTCTTTGAGATGCGGTGACCAGAACTGTACACAGTATTCCAAATTAGGCCGCACCATAGATTTATACAGGGGCATTCTGATACTGGCTGATTTGTTTCCAATCCCCTTTCTAATAACCGCCAGCACAGCATTTGCCTTTTTTATGGCAGTCACACACCTACACCCATAATACTTCCTATCTTTATTGCCACAATCCTACGCACACTGTTTTGTGGGCTTGTCTGTTTTTATACACATAAGCATGCTTGCTCGAGCACACATTCACTTTCCTCAGCCAAAAGAAATGTGAGGAGAAGCATTTTATTGGGTACCTGGACATTGATTTGATCGAGTGATATGCAGGCCAGAAAGAGTAAATCTCCATGCGCTTTTCCCATTCTGTCGAAATGTCTGTAAAGCCGTCTCTTAAGAGCCAATTGAGACATTACTTCTTTGACAAGTTCTCCAGGGAGACTTGCAGTCTTTTACTGCAGCTGCAAGTCTCTGGGGCAACTTGTGTAAAAAGGACAGGTGGGCCTGATTCTGATCAGGACAGGAATGGGGGGGGTTCCTGCCTCCCCCCCCATGCCCTTTTCAGCAGTCAAAACAAGCTGGAGGCTGTGGGTCATTTTGGCTGCCGAAAACAGCATGCAGGGGAAGGAAACCTCTCATCTAGGGTTGCCAACCTCCAGGTGGGGCTTGGGGATCTCCCGCTTTTACATCTGATCCCCAGCCGACAGAGATTAGCTCCCCTGGAGAAAATGGATGCTTTGAAGGGTGGACTCTATGTCATTGTATTATGTTGAGGCCCCTCTCCTCCCCAAACCACGCCGTCTCCTGGCTCCACCCCCAAAGTCTCCAGGTATTTTCCAACCCAGACTTGGCAACCCTACTCTCATCCCCTCCACCGCTGTACCAATCAGAATCGGGCCCATCTGTGTTTGTTTGTTTGCTTGCTTGCTTGCATGAGTTGCCACAGAGACTTGCAGCTGCAACATGACTACAAGTCAAAAGAACAACTTCTTCAGCCCCGTAGCTAGGGAATTCTTTGGGAGGGGGCCTTGGGGGGGCCCGCCAGCTAATTAAATGGAAGTACAGTGCAGGTGGTAAGTTGGAGCACTTTGGGGGCAGCCCCGTAGGGAGGGGGCCCAGAAGAAACACAAGGGGGCCAGGCCCCGTGGGCCCCATGCTAGCTACGGGCCTGAACTTCTTTGGTTCTAAGTGCTGAGCATCAGAACATGGATATTGCTTTGCCACATCAGGGACTCTCTGCGAACCCAGGTGGGAAAGGGAATGTCTGCCTTGAGCTGTTCATGTTGGCGAGGAAGAGAAGAAAACGATGTAGTGATGCACGTATAGGATAAAGGTATTTCTCTGTGCCACCACAGAAACCCCCCCTGACCTGTTCCTTCCTCTACAGATGCACCATACATTTCAGGGGCCAAGAGTACCGGCGTTCCGGTAGGACAGAAGGGAATCCTCCAGTGTGATGCCTCTGCAGTTCCATCAGCCAAGTTCCAGTGGTATAAAGATGACAAAAGGTAAATGAATGTGTGCAGAGGCTGCTGGAATATGGTCTTTGGAACCACACCCATGTGTAATCCACTCACTCCCGAAGACCCTGTAACAACTCTGCCTTACACAGAGTCAGGGGAAATAGAAGGGTGGGGTCCACCAAATCCTCATTATTGGACCAGTACCGATGAACGGAGGAGGCAATTCATAAGAACATCAGAAGAGCCCTGCTGGATCAGACCAGTGGTCCATCTAGTCCAGCATCCTGTCTCATGTGGTGGCCAGCCAGTTCCTCTGGACGGCCAACAACAGGACACAGAGGCCAAGGCCATCCCCGATATCGCTCCCTGGTACTGTGATTCAGAGGCTGACTGCCTCTCAATGCGGGCGTTCCCTTTAGTCAACATGGCTGGTAGCCACTGATGGACCTTTGTGAATGTGAGTGCAGAACCATGGGGATTTGCGAATGTGGCCAAAATGGTGTCTAAGCTCATTTGCCTGTGTTTACCTTATGTCTCCTGTTTGTTCCTTCTATTTGTTGTCTCCCCCATTGAGACTGTAGCCTTTGTGGGGCAGGGACCAGTTTTTCGCGCTGCTCATGTCACTCTGCCACCACTCTGATTTATAATTAATTTTCTGAACAAGAAGTATGCAGGTAACGCTCATGGGTGTTGTAGACCCTTTGCCCTGAGACATTCCTTGGTATGTAAAGTTTGCAATTATGTTTAATACTAGTTCTCCTTGCCAAAGATGATTATCGTACCAAGGCTCCTCTGTAATCCAAGATTCATAAACGGGGGTTATTTTTCAGATTTTCCCAGACAATAAAAGGACAAGGAATCATTCTCTGTTTGAAAAACCCCGCTGAAAATTGCTGGACATGGGTCTTTCCTCCCCACACACTAATTATCTCAGTAGTAAAGAGGTCTATTTGGAATGCAAATCCAGATGTGTTGTCCATTTGATTAAGGCATTCTTCAAAAGGTGGTAGGCTGTGTGTTGTGAGCAGTGCATTCAAATGGGAAGCTACTATGAGCTGTCAATCAGGATCCGAAGCAAATCAGGGCAGTGGCAGTGTAGGACTGGGCACCTGCTGGGATAAATTATCCATGTTAAAAATGTAAAGGGCTGAGGGGAAAAAGAATTTTAAAAACTATGTATGAAGAAGCTGAATTACCTAAGCAGGGTAAGTGGGGGAAGGTTAGGAAAAGGAAGGAATAAAATCCAAGGGTCTTGTGACTGCTAAGTGTGGCGAAAAGGGCTGGCCCAGCTGCCTCTAAGCCACTTTCAGGCATGGATATTGATTGCAGAGATGTAGAGTAGCATCCTGCCTCTTTGCGAAGTGTTCACCATTGTCGCAGGAGAAGCCAGTTTGCAGTTTGTACCAGTTGAGAAGCATTCTGTACCACAGTGCCATCTTTTGGTGACCAGCCTGCACTGTGGGTCTGGCGTGGCTGGGGAAGGCTGTTCGTTGCTGAAGTGGAGCAAGCCAATTAATCGCACAGCTCTTCCAGTAGCTGTGGCTATTTATCTATTGATACCTTGCCTTTCTCCCCAGTGGGGGCCCAAAGCATATAACAAAATAGTCCTTCTGTACTCTGTTTCTTCATAACAATAACGACCCTGGGAGGTCGGTAAGGCTGAGAGATGGCGACTGGCCCAAGCTTTCATGTTAGAGCAGGGATCTGATGGGGAGCAGATCCTGGTGCGATAATCTAACACTAACACCACAGTGGTGCTCCAGTAAATCAGTGGACTGAAAACCTTAGAACTCCATCGATATTTGAACACATGGCATATAGACGACAATTGCGTATAGACTTAATTTTTTTTAAGTTGGAAACCATTTACAGAAATTTACATGTAGGTCTGTCACCACTGTAGTTCTATTTTTGTCTCTAGTTCATTAATTTTTATTTATTTATTTATTAAATTTATGCCCCGCCCTACCCAAGAAAATGGGCTCAGGGCAGCTCACAACATAAAATCAGCAGCAATGTAAACAATAAAACAATAAATAACAATACCCAGGGGTCATTTCGTAGAAAAAGAGGTGCAGGAGCTCATTAGCATAACATTAGCATAACTTATTTACATATGCCACACACCCTGACATCACTGGAAGTGTATCAGAAGGCAACACCCACCGCTCAGGCTCCACTGGACTCTTTTGGATTGCTAGCTATGGGGGGGGATGCGCAGATCTGCTCTCACAGAGGAGGGAGAGCTTGTACCTGAATAAACCTTGGCCTTAAAGGTGCCACTGGACAGTTTTGGATTGCTGTCGGGGGGGGGGGGCTCTGCAACCTACCTGGCTGGTTCTTGCTCCTTTTGGCCTGGGGCTGCTGGGAGCAGGGGGCGGGGCTTGTTGCATGTGCCCGCCCCCTGGGCTCTTTACTGCTGGAGCTCCGCTCCTGTGTGCTCCTGCAGGAAATGACCCCTAACAATACCCAGTCAGCCAAACCCATACATTATTACATAATTTCCCTCAGCTCCAGTGTCCTTAGAGGGAACACTGCTTTGGACTCCCTGCGGGAGAGAGTTCCTGAGCCTGGGTGCAAAGGCTGAAAATGGTTTGCCCTCCTCTGTGATTCCTTGTTTCACCTTCAGCAGTGCGGGAGCACAAGAGTAGGGCCCCAGCTGAGGAGGCCGAAGAGAACCGGGGAAGCCATTAATGTTCCTGATTTGTTTGTACAGATAAAATCCATTAGTCTCTCTTTTCACGTTACTTTCCGTTCCCTGGCACCAAATGTTTCCTGTAAAATATACACATTTTAAACGTTATTTGTGCATCAATAATTTTATGTATTCTGTCTGTATAAATTGCCTCCATTTAGGTATAAATGCCATCTAAATTGCATGTAAAAGCTCCACGAAATCCACACAAGAATACGACGGGACTTAGGAAAGCGGCAGCAAAATGCCATGAAAAGGAACCATCAGCAAAAATACGGAGTCGTATTTAAAAGAATCAAAATAGAGAACATTCCCGTTCTGAGTTTAAGGGTTCAGTTCAATGACTTCGTAAGGGGATCGTGTGAACACTGAAAGTCACATCTGTATCTAGTCTTATCTAGAGCAGCCCCCCCCCCGACATTTTCAACCCTGCAGGCGCCTTTAGAATTCTGACACAAGATGGTGGGCACAACAAAATGGCTGCTGGAGGAGGCAGAGCCAGCCACAAAAGGCCAGGGAGCGATGTTGTGCATAACTCTGAGAGGAACTCTTCAGCACTTAAGGCTGAAGCTCTGTTTAACAGGGTGCCTTTTAATCGGCACAGTCAATCAGAAGCCCTGCTGCATTCAAGCCCCACCTGGCCCTGCCCACTTTTGAAAAACACTCGGCGGGCACCAGGAAAGGTTTTGGCAAGCACCGTGGCACCCACAGGCACAGAGTTGGAGACCCTTGGCTTAAAGTGTAAGGCACAAACAGAGAGAGCCAGGGTGTGAATCCCCACTGTGCCGTGAAGCCTGCTGGGTAACTTTGGACCAGTCGCTCACTGATTTCCCACAAGCAGCTGCGCCGCCCTCGCTCTTCCCTTTCCCCTGATTGTATTCGTCAATCTCCCACTACTTGCTGCTCGGACGCATTTTGACCTGCAGCATTCCCCGATTTCCCCTGCGTCTTCTAGATCCTTGTTTTTTGATATCAAGAAGACGTGAGGGAAATTGGGGGATGCTGTCGGTCAAAATGCAGCCGAGCAGCAAGTAGTGGGAGATTGACGAATACAATCAGGGGAAAGGGAAGAGCGAGGGCGGCGCAGCTGCTTGTGGAAAATCAATCACTCTCAGCCTAGCCTACCTCACAGGGTGGTTGTTGTGAGGATAAAATGGAGGAAGGGAAACCATTATGTAATGTTTTCTTCCTCATAAGGAAGGGTTGGATAAAAATGTTGTATGTCGGATAGGAGATAATAGGCTGCAGTGGAAATTCTTTAAAAAAAGTCCTTGATAGCTATTTTTTTTAAAAAAATCTTCCCTTCTGAATCTTCCCCTGTTTCTTTCTCTCTCGTGGTTTGCTACGCTCCCTCACCTCAGGCTCAGCGAAGGGCAGAAAGGCTTGAAAGTGGAAAACAAAGCTTTCTTCTCCCGCCTGACTTTCTTCAATGTTTCGGAACAAGATTACGGGAATTACACCTGCGTTGCTTACAACCAGTTAGGGAACACTAACGCCAGCATCATTCTGTACGGTAAGTAGGGCATGTGGGAGCATTGTCTCAGCGACAGGTGGACACGGGGTGAGGGACAGAGGCACAGGGACAAACCCCCCCCCCCAAAAAGAAGGGCTTATTTGCAAGGAAAGGGTAAGATGGGGACGCATACGAGAGGTGTGCTGGTCAGAGTGCTAAATCTATGGCATCCTTTTTTGGGGCCAAGCTAGACAATACATGTGATGCAAATCAGGTCAGGGGTCGAGTCGGGGGGGTCAGAGTTCTGGACCTGACTTGCAGATACATGTGCCTTCTAGGGAAACGTGCATTCCCAAGTGCCCCAGGACCCAAATCAGTTCAGAAATGTACACAGGAGAAGGGAGGCTTTGACCTGGGTTTGCCAACCTCCAGGTGGTCGCTGGAGGTCTCCTGCTGTTACAACTGATCTCCAGGTGACATAGATCAGTCCATCTGGAGAAAATAACCACTTTGGAAGTTGGATTCTATGGCATTATGCCCCAAACCCCGCCCTCCTCGGGCTCCATCCCCAAAATATCCAGGTATTTCCCAACCCAGAGCTGGCAACCCTACTTTGGCCTTCCCTCCCATGCTGTTTTCTCCAGCTGAAACAGCAAGGGGGTGGGGTTGGCCCTTTTTTGGGGCACCACTTGCTGCAGTCACAAATTCCCCCACCTGAGTCATGTCACATATATCATCTAGTTTGGCCCTTAGAGTCTCTGTTGAGACAATGGGTAGCCTCAGCTGGCTGCTCATCTGATTCTCCAGATGTTCCCAAGTAGGAAACCTCTTTTTACCCCCTGTTTTATCTACTGCTAAAGAAAGAGGGCTTGGTACACAGATCCCAGGACTCCAGCTTCTGGGTTTGGAATTTTAGCATGTTCGGATATTGTCGGCACCAGAAATGGTGGGATGTCCCACCAGGGTGGAGTCTTGGGAAAGGAGCAACCTCCAGATGTGGAGGGGAAGTCCACCCAGATGCTTCGTCGTGCTTCATCTCTGCATCTTCTGTCAACATTTTGCTACTGTGACCGGCAATGGATTCCCCGGCCCTTCTTCCTTCAGCTCTTTCCTCTCTTTAATTGACTTGGAAAAATCAACCAGTGTGTTTGAAATCCCCTGAGAAATGTTGCTAATTGGATCAAACTCTTTGGCCTTCTCTGGACATTCTTTGGAAGTTTTTGCCAAAAGCAGAAATGTCAGGATTCACCTTGACTTTTGCTTTCAGCAGAATTCCTAGCAGGTCTACATGCTGCTTTCCTTTTTCATAATGTAAAGGCACCATCTGGTTGCCGGAGTAACCACGTATCCTTCCTCATCATACAGTCTAAGAGTGACCCATGCGATACTCTTCTTGTTAAAATGTCCTTTTCTTCTTCTGAAGTCTGTCATTTTTCTTTTCCTCCTAACTTCTGTAGAAGGTTCAGATATGTTGTTGGAAATAGCATAGAATACCTCCCCTGCTCTGAAAGAGGGAAGCGTTCACTTTGGTCCAGGACTTCCAAGGTTATCTTGAACTAGGAACTTCCTTTTTGTAAGAATGGATGTTCAGATTTTTCAGGAAGTTGGATTTTTGGGAAGAGGAGGAGGAAAGTTCTGCACTTACACCAGAGTCACATAATAGGTACAGTTTTGTTGCAAGCCTGCCCTCTCGTTGGTGCCTTGACATTTTTGGCAGCATCTCTTAAGTAGAGCACTGAGAGTGTTTTGAGTGGTGTGGTAGCTAGGGCTGTAAAGCCCTCAATAGGGGCAAGGGATTCCCCGCCCCCAGCACCTGTCGCCCGGCATTGCTTCAAGCGGCATGTAGCTCTAGGAATCGCCAGAAAGTCTATGGTTTTATCAGAGAGTTTCCAGTCATTCCTAGAGCTACCCTATGCCACTTCCAGGTTGTTATTGGAACTGACGTGCTGCCGCACCCAGCATTGTGCCTCCCTGGGTCCCCACCCACAACCCTCCCACTAGTTGCCAGCAGAAGAACCAGCAAAACTTTCAGGGAGTAGTATTCTTGCAGTTACAGAATACAGCATCCTTTTGATAACAGTGTAAAGAGATAAAAGGCAATGATCCCTGGTGGCTGCTGGCAAGACGACCAAATGCTGTTTCTCTGGTTCAGGTTATTGCCACTGTTATTGTGTTATTACTGTAGCTTGTGAAGTCACCCTGCAACTTCAGTTGAAACCATGCCATTTCCCATTTGAACTTAGAACGTGTCCCAGCTCTTTCCTAGAAGAAGATATTGATATAGGAACTGTGAGAGATGCAGAGGGGGAAAAATTGAACCCACGTACAAATTTGTCTTCAAAATGGTTCCCAAATGCACAGCCTGAAATCCCAAGGCTTGTTTCGTTGCTACCTATCACGTCTGGTTTGGCCCTAAAAGAGATGTGGAAGAGAAGCAGATCACAAGAACTGCCATCCAGGATCACTCCCAAGAGCCCATCTAGTTCTTCATCCTGTTTCTCTACAGTGGTCGGCTAAGTGCTTCTGGGAAGCATCCCAAAAGAAGTGATGGCCTTCTCCCGTTGTTTGTCCAGAGTCTCTGGTACTCAGAGATATGCTTCCCTTGAACATGGAGATTCTATTCAGCAGTGCCATGGCAAAGAGTCACTGCCAGACCCATCCTCTATGCCTTTGTCTCATAAAGGACCCTGTCAAGAATAGGATCTCACATACACCTCTGTGTGTGGGTGATGCCAGGCCATTGCACCTAGGGCTGCCAAGCCTCTGCTAGGGGAAAGGGATTCCCCAATCCCAGATCCTCTTGCCCACTGCTGCTCAGAATTATTTTTTTTTTTAAAGCACAGCCTCATGTACTTTCAGAAAGTTCTCACCAAAAGTGACAGGGTAGCTCTAGGAATCACCAGAAACTCTATGGTTTTGCCATAGAGTCTCTGGCAATTACTAGAGCTACTCATGGTAAGTTCTAGTAAAGGCTTCTGGTAAGTACACAAGGCTGCATTTATTTTTTAAAAATTATCCTACGGTGCTGCACCCCACAACCCTCCCGCTGCCTGGCAACATTACTTGCACCTCCGACTGGAGACAGCCAACAGTGTTTTTTCAGAGAATTATTGTGGTGGAGGTATTGTACGGGTTGTACAGGTTTGTTTTTGTTTGTCCCACTGTCGTTTCTTGTCAAACCTGTTTTGGAAGCAATGGGAGGACCCGCAAAATCCACCTTCAGCTCAGGAGGAGGAGGAGAATCATTGCAGATGGATCCTAGCGATCTTTTTTTAACGTTTGTGCTCAAGCAGTAGCAAAGCTGTTTGATGCAACTCACACTCCTAGCCTAGAGCATTTCATTGAGTTTGGTTGGTTCAAATAGAATTCTAGCCAGGGATTTGGGGTATACCTTTCTAAGCCTTCTCACTCTCTCCCCCCCCCCCCGTTTTACCCATATTTCTTGGGTGGCTCTCTTTTGGTCCTTGTGCTTAGCTGGATGTTCTCTTCCTTTGCATTTCTTGCTTTCAAAGCTTAACTCGGAATGAAGCTGGGAGACTGTAGGACAGATGAACACAAGGAGGATCCTTCGGCAATCTTAAAAGATCTATATGGGGGTTCTCATCACAGAGCATAGGGCCGTTCCCTGATTTCCAGCTTGTGGACATTTATCAATAGGATTGCTGTACATGAACACATGAAGCTGCCTTCTACGGAATCAGACCCTTGGTCCATCAAAGTTGGTATTGTCTACTCGGACTGGCAGTGTCTTTCCAAGGTCTCAGACCAAAGTCTTTCATGTCACCTCCTGCCTAGTCCTTTTAAGCTAGAGGTGCCAGGGGCTGAACCTGGGTCTTTCTGCACCCCAACCAGATGCTCTACCACTGAATCGCAGCCCTTCCCCAAATACCTAAACACTGACCATTAATTGGGGATGTGCAGGATCCTAATTTCATTAGCCCGATCAGTGGCTTGTATCTTCTTTCAAAATCATAGATTTTTATATATATTTTTTGCAATGGAGGTACCATCAAAATAATTTCGTTTCCATGTACCTGGAATTTTGGTAGCAACTCTAATTTTTTTAAAAAACCTCCCTTGTTTCAGAACAATCACAACCCCGGAGATGGTGGTGCGTCCTTTGTGCCCCTAAAGCTTTATAGAACTCTGTGGGAAAGTTTTCATTCCAGGCACAACTTTTTAAGGGACCTCTGTGTGTTCCATTTGGTGTTAGAGAGACCTGGGATTAACCACGGGCTTTTATATTTGCAACGGAGCTTACCGTTGTCTCACCTTCTTCTTCCCAGACGGTCAAAGTTTCAACATGACTACCGGCTCCACCCAACATCCATTCAAGTCTGTAGAGAATTCTGCACAAATAGACACACAAGATAATGAACTGAAACGCCTCCTCCCTCACCACTCCCTTTTCCTTTTGGCATCCAGCCTGATGAAGAGTTCTGGAGAACGCCAAAGCTTACACAATGAATTATGTCATTTATTGATTTATGTATTTATTAGATTTGTATCCCGCCCTCCCCTCATAGCAGACTCAGGGCGGGCTTCATCAAATATAATATACAAACATTTAAAAACAATTAAAATACATCAGATAAAATACAATAATATCCCTATGTTTCTAATCAAAGCCTCAGTAGATGAGATCTATTTCAGACTGGGGTTCCCAGATGGTAACACTGATCTGTCCCACTGAAGGGGAGGCCCAACAGAGGGGGGACGCCTACTGCCTCAACTAAAAGGTCTGCTGTCTAAGCTTTATAAAGTGTTAATCACAGAAGGGAATTAAGAAAAGTTTAAACATCAAACAAATTGGGAGGCAGACCTAAATGTGAACTGGCAAGTGACTAACTGGGAGACCATTTGGGACTCTCCAGCAAATAGCTCAAAGGTATAATAGCATCAAAATGCAATTCTTCAAAACAGTTTGAAGATGGTACATAACTCCCCAACAAGTACATAAGTTCGACAGAAACAGTAATCCAATGTGCTGGAAAGGATGCAGGCAGGAAGGGACTCACCTGCACTGCTGGTGGTCGTGCCTGAAGATTCAACAGTTTTGG